CCCCAAAACCCCAAAACCCCAAAACCCCAAAACCCCTTTAAACTTCAAAATAATTGCTCTAATTAATATAATTAAATCAATCATGAAGAAACTAAGGAGAAGATACAAGAGGCTTGACAATATTAGTGAGCCTCAAAACACTCAGAAGTGTGATAGCTTTGGAGTTTCTATGCTTCTATATTCGAAAAAATGTGATTTTACAAGAAAATCTCAAGTATTAGATCAGGAATCTGAGAGGCAAGGCCCGATGAAAGGCAGTAGGGCATGAACACAGTTGAAAGGCCAAATTGTCACTCTAATTGTTTTTTTGTTGTTTTGTTGTCAAGCACTTGCTTTTTATCCCAGTCAATGAGGAGATGGATACTTTGGTGAAAGTGAAAATTGAGTTCCTTGAGATAGTTCTTGCAAAACCTGCTTAGATGTTATGACTTGAGAAACTTGAGAAGATTTTATGAGATACAATAGCACAACAAAGTTATGAGAATCATGTGCTGAAAGTGAATATTATAATCCAATAAAGGATGATTGTGAGCCTTGAGAAAACGTTTGAATTCAATCGTGTGCATACCAACCATCTTGCTTCGAGTGCCCTCCAAACAAAATTTTTGATATTGAAACTCTTAAATGTGTTGAATTTTGTACATCAGATAAAATCGAAATCGTATCTAATAAAATGAATATCGGCAGGATATGAAGAACATTGGAATTCTATGTTGATCCTGAAGGTGACAGAATCATTGAATTAGGAACTTTTGAGTATCCTTATAGAACCTTCAAATCAGTTGCATCAGAAATATTAAACCATTATAGTAACACAAAAGCTGAAGTGGAAATCTTTATAAAGGATGGATATATTGAAATGGATACGCTTTATTTTATTAATATGACAAATGTAAAAATTACAACTCACCCTGATTACCAGCTTTTGAACAAAAGGGCACAAATTTCATTCACTAGTAAGGCCCAACATGAAATATCCAAGAAGGCAAGGTTCCATCTTTTGAAAGATACCTCTATAAGTCACGAAGAGTTCATTAATAAAGATGAATTAAGTGAAAGAGAAATTTCTGAACTATCAAAAATAAAAGTAGGAATCATGCTCGCAAGGACTAGTATTGAGATTTCGGAGATAGAGTTCCATGCTAGTGATCTTGGATACTTCTGAGTCCCAATATATCTTCAAGAAAAGCAAGTGAAATTATGTAAGGTCTAGTAGTATCTTCAAAACTTTATCTCGATTGTTTCACTAAGTTTTCATTTATCAATTAGTAAAAATCTGAACTTAAGTTTAATGTTTTATGAAAAGGTTAGAAAATTTATAGATAGTATAAAATTCAAGAAAAATACATTTATCATAATAAAAATACCTTTTAAAAACGAGGAGAACCCCAGTTAGTTCGTCTAAAATAGGCACCCATTTTCACTGTAGAGTCACCCTATAGATTTAGTAGATTATTAACGATTCCATTGCTCATATTCCTAATTTAGATAATCTGGACTTCAATGTAACTGGTATTTCACTGGAAAGCAAAGATCCAATGAACGTACATCTTGAGAATATCACTGTGGATGTATAGTTCTAAAACTATTTAGAATTTTAATTTTGCAATGAAATCAATCTAGTGAATAAGTTGGAAATGGAAGAATTTAAACCAATGTAATCCATTCTATTACTAAAGGCCTTTATGAAACTGGCATAACTCCCTTTCTTTGTCTTCCTACCAACATTTTATTTTTCCAACTAAGAAAATATATCGTTCTTTGGATTTTAGATAGAAACAAATGACCAGGATGCCAAAGAAATGGAAGTTATATCTATTACAGAAAAGTCTTTTGAAATAAAAATTTCTTGTTTCACAATTAGCTTATATCTGGCTCAAAATCTGTCAGAACGTTTTGTAAAATTATTTTTTTAGTTTATTAAATAATTATTTGAAAGTTTCGGATGTTCTAACTGAGTAAAAGAAATTGTAATAAAATTTTGCATAGTTTTATTCTAAATAATAAGATTCTCCTAATGTAAAAGCCAAGATTGTTTTGGCAGAATATTTTTTGAGTGATTTCAATTAGTGGAGTTTCTTTATCGTGCCTTCGAACAATTTCGCCTCTTCACAAAAGCTATTTCAAAATTTTATTGATTTTCTCAAAACTTATCTAAGACTTAAAATTGAATTCGCTTAATCTTTTCTAATATATTAAATCAGATAATGAACTTCATGAATCAGCAAAAATAAAAGTTGAAATGGTTCTAATATCTTCTGTCGTGAAGAATGGAATACACTCAACTATAATAGCTTGTATTACAATGGAGACATAGAGGGGCACTTTTCAGATTTTTATAAATAATGAAAAATTCAGCAATAATTACAAATTGTATCAAGAGGAACACATTTCCTCTATCCTTTGGTTGTGTACTGAAATTACCCAGAGGCCTTCACACAGAATAACGTTTATATAAAATCTGTGTACCCAAAGATCTCTCTAGGGAGCCCGCCTTATGTTTTCGGCTTCTTGTATTCTTATCTCCCTGGCAACCATACTATCTTCGATGTAGACTGAGGAGGACTTCCTGTTAGCGAAAATGTAGAAGTTTGATTAGCATTTGGGTATTATCCAACATGAATTCCTGATGACGGTTTACTCCAAAATTATGAGTTTGATTCCATATATGCAGATGGCAGATTACAAAATGCTGGAATTGGAAATGTGATAGTTGTTCCAGTCATTTCATTTGCAGTTCCATATAGACCTATTGAAATCCAAATGACAAATTTTAAGTTTATGAATATTACCCAACATTGGACTTGGGGATTGTTTTATCTGTACAGCATTGGTTTAGAAAAAGGCGAAATATCTAATTTCATATTTCACAATTGTACATGTGACTTATTCTTGATGGAAATTCTAACTATTAAAGATTTAAAAATTCATAATCTTACTTTTGAAGATAGTTTGAATCATAAAGCTGAACTCGCTAAAATCACAGCAAATGGAAACATTATAATGGAAGATGTGACTTTAAGAAATTTTAGTAATATTGGAGCTTATAATGCTCCTCTATTTTCTCTTTCATTCCCTAATACAAGCTCAATAATTCTGAAAGATCTTAGCTTTCAAAACCTTGAATTAGCTGCTGTTCCCTTGTTTTACATAACTGCTCCACCAGTGATGATGACTGTTAAAAATTTCATGTTCAAAGATTGTAGCACTTCGGAGGGTCAGTCTTTGCTCAACTTCCTCTACATCAACTCAATTTCAATTTCTAATGTGACTCTCGAGAATGTCAATCCTATCAATTCCTTTGGAAGTGCTGAGAAGGTAATAAGAATTGGCTCGCTGAACTATGAAGAAATGCAGATTGCTGAAATTTCAGACATCTCAATCATGAATTCTTCTATGTCATTTTTTGGAATTGGAAGTCTTACAACTTTCTCAAATTCAGATCGATATATTACTTTCAATAATATAAAATACTCTGGATGCACTTTTCCATCTCCAAGAACATTAGTTTCCACAGATAGATTTGTTGGAAGCCTCAACTTGCACATTCAGTTTAGCCAACTGACATTTGAGAATGTGAAGTTTGCAACTTCTGGTGTTCTAATAGAGTTGAAACATCAACTTCCTACTGTTGTCAATTTTAGTTATTGCTCCATTTCTGGAGCCAATTCTGGGTCTATTGAAGCTGAAGGTAGGAAAATATCGAATGATCTTGACACAAAATTCAAGTTTATGAACTCAACATTCTCAAATGTAACACTCAGCAGTACTCCATTCATCTCAACAAGCCAGAATTTGGTTTATGAGATTCAGAATAGTTCGTTTACAGAGTTTACATTAATGGGTCTTATTGCAGGAATATTCAGAGCATCTGATAGGTCTGTGATTACAATTGAAGATTCAGTATTTCAGAATAACTCGGCAGTTTTAGCTACAATCTTTAAAGCAGAAACTGAAGCAAGTATTATCTGAACAAATTGTACAATCTCCAACAACTTCGGAATCACAAATGGAGTATTTGAGATCGAATCAGGTGCAGTGTTGAAGATACTTCAAAGTGCAATTTATGAAAATTATGCGATACAGTATCCAGTTGGAGCGTTCTTATCTGCTTTTACTCCTTCGATCATCAGCAATACTCAAATTTATTCAAATAGTGCAGTTTTTGAAACCGATTTAGCTGTAGAGCTTTCTCCTAGTTGTATAAGACTGTGATTTTTGAATGATTTGATAAAAAGTTATCTTGCCAATTTTGAATTTGCCACTATTACTCAGACTGACACTCTAATTCAAGTGCTTCTAGCAGAGGTTCATATTATCAACAACACAAAAATCTACAATAGCACTTCAGCTGTGTACAGTTTTTCTTCTGTTTTGATCATGGAGGACTCTTTTCTATTTGGAATAGACTTTACAAACTCCCCAATTAATCTGGTATCAACTGTAGCTACTCTGAATAATCTAACAATAGCTGATTGAACCAAGTTACCTTCTCAGGATGAGCACGCATTTATCCAAGTAACATCTGGAACTTTGATATCATCAGGTTTGAAAGTGTCAAGCACAAATTTTCGAGTTTCTCAACTATCGTTCTCAAGCTGAATGATGAATAATACCCAATTTACAGATGTAATAAACGACAACGGCCTTATTGGATGCCTTAAATGCCAAGATTTTGAACTTGATACTTTGTTATTAGAAAATTCTTACTCTACATCATTTCCTTTACTCATTCTCCAAGAAACTCTCAATGTGGAATTGAAGAACATCAAACTCTCTGGATATCAGTATCGGTTGGCTCAGTTTTCGTCCTCAAGTGTAATTTTGATACAAAACCTTGAGGTTAGTGGTGGAAAGCAAGCTCTTGAATTCACAAATTCTAATCTTCTCAAGATGAAGAACTGCTCATTTTCTAACAATGAAGAAACTGGAACAAGCAGGAGTGGAGCCATTCAGATCCTTAATAGTAAAATAAATATTGAAGACACTGTATTCAGAAATAACTCTGCAGACTCTGGAGGAGCAATCACTTTCGAGTGCACCAGCATGGCGAATTGCGAATTAAATATTGAGAACTCGAAATTCTTAGAAAATAGTGCTAGAGCGAGTGGAGGAGCAATATACTACAACTATAATTATCCTAGAATTAAAAACACTGCATTTAGTAACAATAGTGCAAATTATGGACCAAACTTTGCCAGTTATCCTGCAAAGATAGGACTTGCAAATAGCTCTCAAGGAAACGATATTATTCTGAACAATGTTGGATCTGGTATAACTATTGATCAAACTTTGGAACTTGCTATTTTCGATATTGATAACCAAATAATGAATCTGGATAATTCAAGCCAGATTATTATTCTCCCAAAGAATTCATCTGAAGCTAACACAAAAGGATTCAATATCCTCTCGGTCGATCAGGGGATCGCTCAGTTTGATAATTTTGCCGCTATCATAAGGGATAACAAACGAAGCTCAAATTTTACTTTGAGTTCAAAATCAATCAACACTGCTAAAGCTCAAGAGGTGTTAGGATCTTTATTCTCTCAGAAAGATCTTCAAATTAATTTTAGAGACTGACAGCCAGGAGAAAGGATCGTTGGGGATGAGTGATACGTATGAGCTACCGGTACATACTCACTTGAATGGAATGCAACCAAATGAGTCGACTGAGGTCTCGATGCTGATTGTCTCGGAGGCAATCAAGTATCAGTGAAGTCTGGGCATTGGAGGAGATCCAAAAATTCAACCAAGATTGTTGAATGAATAGTTAAAGAAGCTTGCCAGGGAGGATTTGTAGATGTTACAAAAGATAATCAAACCTCAAAGTAAGCTAAAAATTTCATTCTTAAAATTGTAGTTAGTATTTTCTACTTTGTAATTATGTACCGATACAATTCTAAAATTTCCTAAATAGCTTGCAAATATTTCTTTACTCCTTCAAGTTAGTACTAAAAACTATTAACTTTTTGCAAGCAACTGAACTATATTTAAAGCTTAGCAAATAATTTAAGGATGATCTTACAAACTTGGTTGCATTGAAAGAGTTTTAATCCTGTCAAATAGCTCCAAGAATATTCATCCAGTAAATTGAGCAGAAGGATATTCAGGCAATCTCTGTTCCCAATGAGTTGTAACCCAAGATGCCAAATATGAAAGAATTAATGACTACGAGTGACAGAAATGCCCAGAACAAATTTGGAATGCAATTCAAGTGGTGTTCACTTTACTACTTGTCTTACTATTTTACATAACTTTGGTCGTTATCAATGTACGAAAAACTGATGAAAGTGAATTATCAGTTCTTCTAAGAATCCTTACTAATTATCTCCAGATTATAACAGTGTCTGCATCAATGACCAATGACTATCCAGCTGGGTTGATTGCCTTGACAGTTCCGATCAAATTGTTTGGAGGGTCTACAGATGCATTATTATCGTTTGACTGCTTCATTGAAGACTCAGAAGCCAACTCTATGTTTAACTCTAACTCAATCTTTAAATTGTTCCTGATGACATTCTTGCCAATAATCTTATTCTTTATCATTGCAGTGATGTGGGTAATCATTAAATGGGTCAAACCAGCTTGGTGCACAAATATTAAGAGAGCTCTTGTGATTTCTTTCATCACAGTTGTATTTGTTTTGCATCCAAAGCTCACAGAGAAAAGTATCAGTCTTTTCAAATGTATTGAAATTGATGAAGGCTACAAGGTCGCAAGGATAGATACTAATCTTGAATGATTCTCCCCAACACATTTGAAATGGTGAATAATAGTAGGAGCACCAATCATTTTAGTTTGGGTAATTGCCTGACCTTTAATAGCTTATATTGTTATCTTCAGAGAAAGAAAAAAGACAAACAGTAAAATTATGGAATACTTCCTAATAATCTACCAAGGACTTAAGCCTGAGGTAATGTATTGGGAATTTGTTAATACTATGAAGAAAGTGGTTATCTCATTGTTTCTTCTTTTTGAGCTGAAGGTTGCAATCAATTTATCACTAATAGTACTTCTGTTGACAGCTCGCTTCCAGATAAAGATCAAGCCCTATAAGAATCTAGAAAATAATAAAATAGAATTTTTATCTACAATGGGAGGTGCCACTTTGATTATTGGAGCTCTAGTGTATTCTCGGTATGAACAGCATGATGCTCTAAATGTTATTGTATTTGTAGCTATTTTAATGATCAACTGTAAGTTTATAATAGAATGGCTGATACTATTAATGCAGCTGTATCAGGAGAAGAATAAGTTTGCACACACTGTGAGTACCAACAGCTTAATTGATATAGATTGTAGTTTTCTTTTCCAAGATTATGTGAAAAAGAGTAAAATTTCAATAACTTTAATAGGCCAAAATCAAACAACAATGAGAGGATGGATCAAACCAAATTTATAAAGTAAAAATATTTTTAATTTTATAGAAAACTGAAAAAGAAAAACAAGAGAAAGATGAAAAGTCAACTTGTGTAAAGAAGAGTAAGGAATCCCTGAATATTAAAATACCCGATTTAGTGATACTCTATCATAAACATCTATTTGTAACAATATCTTAAAGGCTTTGGAATGAAACACTCCTTGTTCTTATTCTTAAAATTCCAATTGATCAAAACATGAAATATCTGTATAGAACTCTACAAGAAGTCCAAATCAATCAAAAAGAGAAAGAAGGCTAACAAGATGGGGACAAAAAGAAGAATTCAAAATACTACGAATACTAATCTTCGAGATTTTGAGTAAGAACTTGCTTAATTGTTTAGAATTGATGAACAAGGTACGAACTCTCTCTTATGTTTCCATCGATTGCTTATTGAAAGTCAGCAATCTCCTAAAACTATTGAATGGCAGGTGAAAGTGCAAATTTAGTAACCTCTTTGATAAAGTATTAAACCTGGGAAGCTAGAATCGGATCCTTTTGATTAGTTCTTAAAGCCCGGGAGTTCAGAAGCGATAAACAAATTATATACCATGGACATCACGCGGCTGATTTTATTGACCGAATTAATAGAATTATTTATTAAGCTTAAGCTGTGATGATATGCATTTTATTCCAGTAATAGTTATGTATTCTCGATTCATAAATCTTTTTGTTTGGGGATAGAGACATATCTATGCTTTAATAGCAATTTAATATGGGATAATCCCGAGTTAAAAGTGAGAAACAGTTGTTATAGTTAGGATTTAGCTCTTTATAATCTATATTTTATCAAAAATTGTTTTGGTCTTTTTGTCTATTGAAAGGTTTTTCATCAAAATTTTTGTTTAGAACCTTATTACTTTTCGCTAACACTTATATAGAACATAACAACAGTATAATAAATATGCCAGACTCTCACAGAACCTCCCAAAGACCTATATTTATAAAGAGATCAGTAAGATCTAGTCTTAATTCATAGAGAGTAACTACTATCAATCAGACTGCTTTGCCTCAAGTTAATTGTGACTCTGAAATTATTGAAAGGGATAGAGTCAGAAAAATAGATGAAGGTAATTACCCATGCTAACTTCCCCATGATTTCTAAGAGATAATTCATCTGATTTCACTCATTGGTTCGCTGGATTTAAAGTTCAATACCAATTTATTTTCCTTTAGATATTCCAGAAGATGGCCAAATTTTCTGGAAGAGGAGGATAATTTAAACTGGATCCAAACTATCATGCTAAGGTATAAGCAGAGGTATGAATAAATCAGGTGTTACAAAACTCTGGTCAAAACCAACCGAAAGGTGTATCTAAGGGGCACTTCTTGATCCATAATATATTTAATTCCTCCTAAGAAATATGGAATAATGAAAGTCCTTTCAAAGAATTGTAATAGGATTAAATTTTGAGTTGAGTAGATAGAACCATACAGGTTCTTTCTGTTAGTAGTGTCTGCTAAGAAATGTAGATAGAAACACTCTAGAGTAACAGATTAATGAAGAATACAAAATGAGATATTTCATTAGAAGGTACGTTGAAAGAACCCTAAAAGGAAAGGAGAAAGGTGGACATGCTATAACTCAAAATTATGCTCTGTTGAGGGGATGTTTCATCGGATCTGCTTTGGATAAACTGTATGAGTAAACAACTATATCTCTACACAATAGATTCTTCTTATGAAAGAGTGCCCTCAATTTTGGGTTAAGTGTAAATATGAGTAGGTAATCTGAATTTTTAGGAGAGATTCTGAAAACTAAACCAGGGTTAAATATCTGAATAAAAAAATTATCCACCCACTATTTGCAAACCTTTCCATTTATAAATAATAACAATTTCCGAGTGATTCCCCAGAGACCGGATGGTAATTACTCCAGTAAAGATCACCTAATTTAGTAACCTCCACATGAGCCCACATAATCTAACCAGCACTATAAAAACCATTCAAAAAGTCCCTCTACACCTCCAAGTCCACCTTTCCCCTCCAATTCTTAGTTCAATGTGTCCAAACTTCCTTCCCCCACCCTATTCTAATTCCTTAATAATTTTCAATTTCCGTAGCTCAGGCCGGGGTTTTGGGGTTTTGGGGTTTTGGGG